ACATTAACTGCATCAACGACAATCTCAATGTAAAGAACATTCATGTTATCAGTGCACACCAATAGCTTGTACTAAATCATACAGGCATGCAGCCCGATAGTCGTAGAGCCAGGATTTGATGAAAAAGGAATCGTGTTATGCATCATCTTTAGTATTATTACTATTATTGTGAATGTTGTTCTTTCTCATTTACAAAGCTTGGTTCACTTCACTTATCTAAACGGAACAAAATCATACTATTTGCATTCATAATAATTTACAGATTATGAATCCATTGCTTCCCTGTGTTGTGTTGATCGTGTGGTTGTTTGACCATAATTCACTACACTAATCAGTGCTAGTTGAGATATCACCACTGATATTAGCCATTGTTAAGAATTGAAAGCAGGTTGCCCAGATCATTCAGCAGTACACTAATCACTGTGACTGCTCCCCCACTTTATTTGCAAATAAATTGCAAAAATAATTCATAGATTCTCACATGCACGAGTCGATGCGTGCATATTTAGTACATTATTGCATTTTTGTTTGAATAATCAGTGCAATGTTACAAGCCTCATGGAGACTATCTTACATTTATGTCAAAAAACCAAAACACTTCCAATGATTTAAAATCACTAAGGTGACAACATAAATCAGCAATTGTATTTAAAAATAAGACATTTCAACTACATCAAGGAGATCTCGTCACCATTAGCATGAAATTTCACCACAATTACTGTAGGCTAAAGTAGGTAACAATAAGTTGACGTGGGGAAGGAGTCCACGTACATTATACAGCTCAATAGAATGTCCAGATTATGCAGTTCATGCTTCTCACTTGTGAAATACCAAACAATCTGCTGTTTTATGAGCATCCGTATTTCCAGTTGCCCAAGGTATATTAATGAGTAACGTCAATTACATTTTTAGCAATGCATGTGTAATGCGACAATAAGACACTTACCCAGATATCGCCTTCGATGTTGCTGATGACTGTCAACTCCCGATTGCCGTGAGTCATTTTTTGATACACGGGGATGTTGTGCATTCGTGTTCGCTTCACAAAATATGGAAGAGCAGGTGGTGGATCTGATAGGGACAGTATTATTTAACGCCCATTAATAGCCAAGTACCATTAACCACACGGTAATAGGCAAAAACCATATCACCTATTGAACAGAGTTCAACAGAATTACATTTCAATGCACGCATTAACTTTGTAAAATGAATGCAATGAATCCAGTTGCCATTAAATAATTCAGCAGTAGGCAGCCAACACAAGTAGATGATACAAATAATTTAGTTTGGGCTGTTGGTCACGATGAATGGCAATCAGCTTCCAAATTGTGCGACTTTTAAAATATACTTGTACACAAATCCAACCGTAGCTATTAAGGGACGAAAGGGTAAAAAAAAACATCCCTTGCATGGCAGCAAATATGTGGAACCAAAGGAAAACTATTTTGTATGTAAAGATTTAACTTCACCAGGCAGGTCTTTTGCATGTTCCAGTGGGTGAGTGTACAAAAGTGTGGAAGGAAATTGCCTCCTTCCACTTGACTTTCCACTTAAGTGACAACTTCACGGAACAAATGCCTTCCCTGTGTAGTCAATGACCATCTTGCAAATGTTTTCACGTTAAACCAGGTCTTTAAAGAGACGACCATGAGGTTAGTCCACATTTTAACACACATTGACCAGCATCTCAACAATCATGAGACAAAGGTAGTATGCCTATCGCAACTGTTCATAAGCATCAAACATGTTTTGTAAGGACACAGTAGATTTGGCGAGTGATACATAGTTTCACAGGTTTCGGATAAAGTTCAGTTATGGCACGGGAGTAAAATGAAGTCCGACCTTCTCAGTTCACTTTCTGCAAGGGCCTACATTACATGAAGGCTGGAATATTAATACTGCAGCTGCTCTGTATAACAAAACCATTCCTTCCCAAGCGGTCTCTAAACTGCATGCACTGCTCCATAACTATGAATGTGCTTTTTGAGTTATACCTCCATTTTAAATGTTATCCAAAATGAATTTCACCTCATTTAAGTTTGAAATTATATTTCTTTTTTTCATTGTGTTACCTTTGATTCTGTATTTCATTAATATGCCATGCTTTGTTGTGACCCGTCTTTCTTGAAAAAAAGAGAGTCTTGTTTTGGTTTCAATGGGTTCTCACCTGGTTTTAAATGTAGGTATTTTTCAATTAAACAAGTAAATGAATGTACTGTGCAGATTCACTAAGTGCCTCACACTCATGTGAACCATTTCCCATTCCGAGACATCTGCAAGTTGCAGGGTGGGTCCCGTTCACCGCTGCACCTTGGAACGTGTAAGCGGTTAGCATTAATTTTATTTAGAGAGGTTTAGTGCCGTTGTTTTTAAAGACATTGTACTCTCCGCAGAGAACTATAAGGACACGATTGCACTCTATGATAGCTGGCGCCAAATTGTGCCAGACACCCATGGTCTTGTGGGAGCCTCGATACCAATAAAGTTATTTTAGTGTACGTCATCGGAACGGAATTGGAAGAAAAACTGATGACGTACATGTACATCATCGGAATGGGGAAGAGTTAACATGTGGATTTGACTAAGACGGTATGGTTATTAGCAGGCCCACTCTCACCTCGTGGGGGGCTCCACCCTGACGGCGTTGGGTAGTGCTCGTGCTTGGGAGGCGTGGGAACTCGGAGTGGAGGAATCAGTCTCTCAACGTAGTGAAAATCGTCGTATGATATTTTTACTCCGGTGTATTGGTCAGGTTGAGATGAAACTTTTTCACAAAAGCACTGTAACAGAAAATAAACACACGCAATATTAGATAAACGTACAGCCTTTTTTGTCAATCCACTGCTGGATGAGGGTTGTCCCACCCTGATTAGTGCGGGTAGGTGAAGGCAGACAGCATAGACGTTGATGCATAGTACCGTGCAATGCATTTTGCTGTCGTTCCCTTTGCTCACGTGGCCCCGTGCAAGCGACACATGATACATAACTAGATAAGATACAGAATAAATGCATTATCACCTCCGATTAGCACTGTTGGCTACGTACAGTGTGAAATAAGTAAAAAATTACACTGTATGTAGACGTTTTAATGCACAAAATTCCTGTGGATTTAACATTAACCCGTGTGGTGTCCAATTAAATATCAACTATTTCATAAGGATTCAATTTCAGAATTATTGCATACAGCCTTTGTTCATTTACTCTCCGGTATAGAAGTCCAACTAGTTATGTATAGTTTAGTGGACCAAATAATATATGCTAGGGGGGATAACGCTCATATTCCAGGCGCTTGCATGAACCGCTTTAGTTGTGCAATATTTGTTGATGTATTGCTTTTACATTCATAACAATGTTTACTGAGGGATGTAAAATCATGTCATGAGCACAACGCTATCAAGGTCTCGCACTCAGTTCCTCCGTATGCAATGACACCAGCAACTGAGATGCAGACATTATTTAAGCAGTAAAAATGCTGTGACGTGGTACATTTAGACGCTGTCTGCAGTACATTCCAAATGCATTCTCCGTGCCAAATTTGCAATAATGCGGCAGCTATCAACGTTGACAGCCATGAGTAACCGGTGCGAATTCAACATTCCCATGACAGACGGCAATTTTCTGACAGAATGAACATCCTTTACTTCCTACAAAATGGTACTCGTATCGATTCCAGATGATGATAACACTCATGACGGGCCGGGTCAAACGCCGCCCGTGTGCATTTGAGCTGTCGACCTTGATACCACAGCGACACCAGCGACAACGGTATACGTCCATGCTGACAAACCAAAGCACAACAGTCATGCCGTTTGTATCCGACTCATTGAAGTAAACCCCGTGCGTGCACCGTTGGCCGATTAAACAATCACTGCTACAAGACATTGTCTTCTTCGCGAGGCGTTGTAGTCTTGACGGACAGTCAATGTTCCTTCATGCCGTAAATGTTTGATGAGTAACTCAAACCCCCTTGTCTGCGTCACGAGCTGCGATTGCCATCGTTCTGTTGTAAAGATGCGCGCGTGGTGGAGGTCTCACCCGGGCCGGGCGCACGAAGCCGGCAGCCGCGGGGATCAGCGCCCGGCGCGTCGCCGCCGCCACCACCGCGGCAGCCGCCGCCATGCTCCTCCAGGGCGCCGCCATCTTTCTCTGCGAGGCGAGCACGTGACCGCCCTCACGTGACCCCCCGCACGTGACTGACTTCCACCCCAAGACAAAGGTGCCCCGTATAGCCTACAACAAGCTGTCGGGGCAAGTGCTGTTAGCACCTATAAAAGCCGGCACGGCACACGGGGGGGGATGGGTGGTCAGCAACCACGCCCGGCAGCCTTTGTCTCTCCTCTCCCCCCCCCCCCCCCCACAGTGGCGAAGTTTACACACAGCACTTGGTACTCATTTGAGGTGCCCAAATACAAAGATCCCCCGTGTAGCTTTAACAGGCTGTCGGGGCAAGTGGTGTTAGCGAGCACCTGTGAAGGCCGGCACGGCACACGGGGGGGATGGGTGGTGAGCAACCACGTCCGGCCGCCTTTCCGTCCCCCCGTAGCGAAGTTTACACCCCGCACTTGGTGGTCCTCATTTGAGGTGACCGATACCAAAACCCGCCACAACGGCGCCTGTGCCAGGCCAGGTGCACTTTTGAGGCCACGTGACGTGTCGAAGGTTCGCTGACAGGTCACGGGACAAACCACCAACCACCACAACCACCAACCACCACCAACCACCACAACCACCACCCCCCACACACCACAACCACCACCCCCCACACACCACAACCACCACAACCACCCACCACCACAAACCACCACGTCGTGGATGGTGTAGGGGGGGGCTCATGCACCCCCCCCTCCCACCACGTGACATCCCATCGCCCACAGCAACCGAACCCATCCCGGGACCACGTGACCGGCTCCCCGTGTTTCCACGGCAACCCCATCCATCCCGACCACGTGACGCGGATATCACCACGGGGCAGCGTCGCTCGCCCACGTGGTTCGCCGCGACGTCGCCCCCCCCCCCCTCCGCGCATGCGCACTGCGTCCCCCCCCTCCTCTCTCTCCCTCTCTCTCTACCGCCTCCATCTTAGGCGCCTCGCAGGTGATGCAGCGCTCCGGTCTCGTCGCGAAGCTTCTCTTCTCCCCTCGTTCTCCTCTCCCCTCGCTCTCCCACCGCGCGTGAGGGAGGCCCTGTTCCGCTTGTAGTTGTATGAGCTCCGTACGGCTCGCGGGGGTGGTGGTGGTGGTGGTAGCCGAGGGGAGGTTTGGCACGAAGGCCTCGGGCCTAGCGCGGCGCCGTCCTGGGCCGGTGGCGTGAACCGACTCGGCGTGGCCTCCCTCCTCGTCTGTGTCCAGCCTCTCGCTCTCTCTCTCTCTGCGTGTTAACTCGGGAGAATGTTTCGCTTAAGATACAGCCGGGCACGTAGATTGGTGTGCGGTGGAAGGGGGGGGCGTCATATTAAAGGGGTTTGTACGAGGGGCTGGTTATGAAAAGCGAATCGTGGCGACTTCACGTGGTGTGAGGGTTTTTAATGCGAGGCCGATTCTAGGGTTCCTATCGCGGCGGGAGGTTTGATTATCTTTGTACGGCGTCTTGTGGGTCGTATTTGCGTTTGTTGAACTTAGTTCGCACCGTACGTCACCAACCGTGGTAATGGGAAGTACAATCGCACTAGTGTATTCATAAATGGTTCATTTCAGAGTTATTTTGTTGGTGTTGAGGGGTCGGGGATTCTTGTGGGAGGGCTTCATGGCACAGCGGATTGTGTTGTGAACTCGTTTAAGAGTCGGGCTGAACTAAGTTCACCAAGATTTTTTTTAAAGTTTTGAAAATGGACCGCCACACGTGTTTTGGGCCGGAGCTCAGCGCTTGAAGCCCGAATGACTGCGTGGGCTCAGCGACCAGGGGTTGTATTACCCTCCTTCCACGCGTATTCTAAAGTCTTACATGTACAAATGAGACGAAGTCATCGCTCATACTCCACTGATCGTACATCTCCACCGATTATCTTTACAGCTTCAACATGCAGCTGTTTGTACGAGGTCAGAATGTCCACGCGTTGGACATTTCTGCGCACGAAACCGTCCATGAGCTGAAGGTAAGTTCTTGCAAGTCTGATGCGACCTTCACTCGAGTCCAGATTACAAGTATGGGGAATTACTCCTTGAATATTACTCACATCGTCAGCCAGGGTAAAGCCACTGCTGGATGTAGGGCCTTCCCAATACCTGTGTTGGTCATGAGGTTTGTTTAACATTACAGTACTTGACGCTGGTCAGTGCGGGTTGGTCATGGGCAGCTCCAGGATAGGTTCATGTCACACCAGATAAAAGCCATGGCTGGGAATTGAACTATGTTCGCCTGGCTCGGCACATTTTCCTGCTCGTCAAATTCCGAGGGAACTCTTCTCCAGATGGTATTTGGCCTATTCCATGCTGACCAGACACCTTGTTGGAGATGCGAGTGCCCACACGTTACACCACCACTTTACACCTCTCAAATAACTTGCATAGAAACATTTAGTAAACGTGGCCGTGTCTTGTGTGCGTGCAGGAGCGCATTGCTCCTTTGGAGGGGATCCCTGCCGAGGAGCAGGTCCTCACGGTGGCTGGGGCCCCCCTGGAAGATGACGCCGTGCTGGAACTGTGCGGCCTGGCCGAGTACGCCACCCTGGAGCTGACGGCTCGCCTCCTGGGAGGTGTGCCCCTACGCCGCGCTACCTGGATTTTGCCAAAACGCGATGATGATTGATGCAAAGGTTGCACGTGTTTGCTTTGCTGACCCGGTGTGATGCGTGTGTGTGTGTGGTGCCACAGGTAAAGTGCACGGCTCGCTGGCGCGTGCCGGAAAGGTGAAGGGTCAGACTCCCAAAGTGAGTTGAAACCACATGTGTGTTTTGTGTGAATATGGCAGGGTATGTGGATGTTTGTGTTGAAGGCAAAAGGAAGTTTTCCCGAGCGTTATTATTGCTGGGAGGGAGCCAATTCACAGTTCTGGTCAGAGGCAGTAAGAAGCTGGTATAGATTACCTTTGCCCTAAGTATCCATTCGTTAAGTGTTCATTTTCACCATCCTAACAGCGATGGAAAAATTACATTGTTATGCAATTTGAGTTAGTGCTGGCATTTAGACCTTTCAATCGCTGTATTGTAAACCATCGCCTTCAAAGCCATACATTTAATGTTAATTTGTTTTTCTAGTTAAATTGAGGCCACTTGTGCAAATGAGACTTTCCATGGTCTCTTGAGTTATCAGGTGACTACAAAATGAACTTACAACAGTGGGGGTAGGGGAAGGATATTGACCTGTTGTGTCTGGTTATGCTCTTCAGGTCGCCAAACAGGAGAAAAAGAAGAAGAAAACGGGACGCGCCAAGCGACGAATCCAGTACAACCGGCGCTTCGTCAACGTGGTGCCCAGCTTCGGCAAGAAGAAGGGCCCCAACTCCAACTCTACATAAATGCTTCTAAAATCTGTTGCATTGTTTGCTTAATCACAATTCTAGAAATACACCCTGCAAACAAAACCTTCACTGTGTGGTGTCCTTTATTAAAATCTATATTTGTTTACGCGTAAAAATGTGAATAATCGGTAGAAATGTTTCTTAGTGCTCGACCAAGTGAATGCCATCTGCGCTTGATGTACAAAAGTGTTGTCAAACTGCTTCATAATGTCAAACTGCTCAGAGCTTGAATTGTTTAACATTGACATTAAGTAACCCGGCAGGATTTTAAAGTCAACTTAGGTGGATGGGTGGTGGCTCTCCTGAGAGATCAAATCTGTGCAGCCACGTTTGATTAAATTAGGTTAAATAGTTGATGTGGCCTGGTCACCAATACAAAAAGTTTGCTTTTGCACAACTTTAGATTTAATATGAGCTCAAACTCTGGTTTGAGGGAAAACAGATGAGTGCATGACAATTTTGGGATTCTACCAGGCTTGTTTTCTGTGGGGGGGGGGCAGTGATGTGCTGCTTTGGCATTGGTTCTTGTTAATGGCACAATTTTAATCAAGGATGGGAGACAGAATCGATGTTTATACTGGAAGAATATGGTGATCTTTGAGGCTCTTTCACATCCAGTAAGGGTGGATCTGGAATTTACAGCTCCAAAAAACAGACTCGAAAATGCGGTCATAAATTATGCTGATTTCTCAACATTACATGCAAGGCAGCAACCAACCAATTTCTATTCGTGTTGAGAGATTTTGGAAATGCTTACTGGAACTGTTCATCTGCAATGCGGTACATGGATGAATATTGTTTTTTGGGTATCATCTGCGAGGCTGCGAAAGACCAAAGTGCGAGAACCCTTTGCCACAATCTGCTGAAGATCAAGATAGGTTTAGAACTATTTATACTGGCGGTATCTAGTAGTGGGTAAGAACGTTACAACAATACAAACACGATAGCCGTGCTAATTACAAGAAAGGTAAACGCCCAAATGCAAAACATTACCAGGCAAAGCCCACGGATATTAACTTATTTGTCAAGCAGCTTGACCACATGAGAGCTCAACGAAGTGTAATTTATGGCAGCAAAATCATCTGAATGCTTGTTTCTAAATGTGGACGGAGGACCCGGAGAAAACATCCACGCGACCACGGGGAGAACATGCAAACTCAAAATATGCAAACCCCAGAACCTGCATACGAGGCGTGGAAGATAAGATCACAACCACCGTGGTTCAGAGGCCGATTGCATGAAAGGCTTTTCTTGAAAGCTATCTCAACCTGTCGCATAATGAAAGAAAAAACCCGTGGAGGAATTTAAAACTCCGTATGACGAAGCAGATCACAATTCGAGACGGACATCGTCGCAATATCCACTTGGTGAAAAACTGCCCGTGGGCGTAAACGTAAATAGTCTCAGTCCCCAGTGATTTAAAAGTCACGCCAACCTTTGCTCAGAAACATCCCACCACTACATAAAAACCTCCGAAAAGCCTTCGGGCAGATCATCGCCTATCTCAGAAAGCCACCGTGCCATAACGTGGCCAGCAGATGTCAGAATTGGGTTAAAAACGCTCCCCGAAAAAAAAAATCAACCCCAACGACCTGGGGGGGGGGGTGGTGACGGACGTCGCGAATTTCCGCGTGCGGGTGGCGCCCCCGTGTGGCCGCGACAAAACCAAACGAATCCACGGGCCCACCACACATCACGGGGGTGGGTGGTGCTGGTGGGGTTCGTTCGCCGTTTGACCTCCAGCCGACGACTGCTTTAGCCGACAGCCGCCCAATGTTGAGCAGGGTCAGGCTCAGGGTCCGCGTTGGAGTTGGGGGTTGGATCCCGGCATGGCAGAGCCCCAGGCGCCAGCTTGTGGCCGCGACGGAGAGGGCAGGAGCGCGCCGAGGAGGATATTGCACAGCACCGTCTACCACTTCGTCGTTGTCGTCGTCAGCGGCGGCGGCATCGCCAACCTCCAAGGAGGTGCGAGAGACGTTCGTCCGCTTCTTCAGGGAGAAGCACGGACACGCGTTCGTGCCGTCCTCGAACGTGAAGCCGCGGGCCGACCCGAGCCTCCTGTTCGTCAACGCCGGCATGAACCAGGTGCGGTGCCGTGGACGCGAGGGGGCGTGGGACAGCCGAGAGCACGTGGTGCCGAGAGGGCATGGGTACTGAGAGGGCATGGGCCAGGTTCTGAGAGGGCATGGGTACTGAGAGGGCATGGGTTCTGAGAGGGCATGGGCCGGGTACTGAGAGGGCATGGGCCAGGTTCTGAGAGGGCATGGGTTCTGAGAGGGCATGGGCCGGGTACTGAGAGGGCATGGGCCGGGTACTGAGAGGGCATGGGTTCTGAGAGGGCATGGGTACTGAGAGGGCACGGGCCGGGTTCTGAAAGGGCATGGGTACTGAGAGGGCACGGGCCGGGTTCTGAGAGGGCATGGGTTCTGAGAGGGCATGGGTACTGAGAGGGCACGGGCCGGGTTCTGAAAGGGCATGGGTACTGAGAGGGCATGGGCCAGGTTCTGAGAGGGCATGGGTTCTGAGAGGGCATGGGTACTGAGAGGGCACGGGCCGGGTTCTGAGAGGGCATGGGTTCTGAGAGGGCATGGGCCAGGTTCTGAGAGGGCATGGGTTCTGAGAGGGCATGGGTTCTGAGAGGGCATGGGCCAGGTTCTGAGAGGGCATGGGCCAGGTTCTGAGAGGGCATGGGCCAGGTTCTGAGAGGGCATGGGCCAGGTTCTGAGAGAGCATGGGTTCTGAGAGGGCATGGGCCAGGTTCTGAGAGGGCATGGGCCAGGTTCTGAGAGAGCATGGGTACTGAGAGGGCATGGGCCAGGTTCTGAGAGGGCATGGGCCAGGTTCTGAGAGGGCATGGGCCAGGTTCTGAGAGGGCATGGGTTCTGAGAGGGCATGGGTTCTGAGAGGGCATGGGCCGGGTTCTGAGAGGGCATGGGCCGGGTTCTGAGAGGGCATGGGCCAGGTTCTGAGAGGGCATGGGCCAGGTTCTGAGAGGGCATGGGCCAGGTTCTGAGAGGGCATGGGTTCTGAGAGGGCATGGGTTCTGAGAGGGCATGGGCCGGGTTCTGAGAGGGCATGGGCCGGGTTCTGAGAGGGCATTGGCCAGGTTCTGAGAGGGCATGGGTTCTGAGAGGGCATGGGTTCTGAGAGGGCATGGGCCGGGTTCTGAGAGGGCATGGGCCGGGTTCTGAGAGGGCATGGGCCGGGTTCTGAGAGGGCATGGGCCGGGTTCTGAGAGGGCATGGGTTCTGAGAGGGCATGGGTACTGAGAGGGCCAGGTATTGAGAGGGCATAGGTAGAGTGCTGAAAGAGCATGGGTAGAGTGCTGAAAGGGCATTGGCTAGGTTGTAGGTCTTGAATTTGAGGTGATAGACGAGGCATGGCCCGATAACTAGCTACGAAAGTCATTTGAACCAATATCCCACAAACAGCATGTGACATAACTTTACATTTGTCAGACAATCCCATTCTATCACCTGTACCATATTGTGTATCCATCACCGTGCCAACACCTGTACCATCACCCGCACCATCACCTGTATCGTCACCTGTACCATCAACCGTGCCACAATGCCTGTACCGCCACCAATGTCATAATCTGTACCATCAACTTTGTTATAACCTGTGACGCCCCCCCCCTCTCCTGTGCTACATCCCCTGCGAAATGACCTGTGCCGCCCCGTGTGCCCGCACTGTGCGCAGTTCAAGCCGCTGCTGCTGGGCAGCGTGGACCCGCGGAGCGAGCTGGCGCGCTGCACCCGCGCCGTCAACAGCCAGAAGTGCGTGCGCGCCGGCGGCAAGCACAACGACCTGGAGGACGTTGGGCGAGACGTCTACCACCACACCTTCTTCGAGATGCTGGGAAACTGGTCCTTCGGAGACTATTTCAAGGTGGCCCATGACGGGCGGTGGTGGCTAGGCACGTGGTCTGTGATCCAGAACAGTGGGATTTCGCAGTGTTGCACAGTCGGCAGGAATCTATGAACTTACTTATATATTTGTACTCCTATACTTTATTTACGTTTATTTATTTTTCTTTACGTGCTTAACTTTCTTATACTTGGCACTCTTATCGTTTTTTTCTATTATTGTTGTAACTTTATGACCTGGCCGTACTGGACGTCTGTGAAAGAGAGCTCCATGGCTCATGAGATTACTGCAGGATAAATACAGATTGTTATATTCTGAGTAGTTGTAGGAAGTTGACCCAGCACACGTTAGAACTGCCAGGTTGCTAACAATGTAAGGCTTTTTCTATCTTTGCGTGTTCAAATGTGTCGAGTAGCTACAAAAACAAGCACTAATATTTTCTAAGATAATTTTTGCAATGAGAATTTTTACTTGCTTTTACAGCAAAGCAAAGGCTAGATAACACATACTGAGCAGAGTAACGATGATATTGCTTTGTTCAGAAGTTGGATCGAGGCAGGAAGAGGACTGAACTGGTTGCATCTTGCATGCGAGCAACTGGATCAAGATTAAGCAGAGACACTTTCTGGTTTTGTAACATTTTCAGGCCTCATTCCACAATTTACGTCTGGTGTATGTGGCGCGTGATGTTCGAATAACACTGTGGTATCGTTTGTGTTTTTTTTTTATAAACACGCAGAGAGAGGTTTGCCAGATGGCTTGGGAGCTGCTGACGGAGGTCTATAGAATCCCCAAGGAGCGTCTGTACGTGTCATATTTCGGAGGAAGCCAGGCCCTGGGGCTCAAAGCGGACGAGGAGTGCCGGGAGATTTGGCTGCAGCTCGGGTAAGTGGGTGGGTTTACCGTGGGTAGTGGCAGCACCAGCACCTGCGTGTGCCGGGGTGGGGGTCAGGACGTCTGCTCGGGGCCCTGGTGCAAGGAAAATCTTTATCCACTTTCCCTCCTCTTCGTAGCCTCAGGCCAGGTCCTGCCAGGCTGTGGACCTCTGTGCAGTTTCACCGCCTGCACACACGATAGTTACACCACTGCTTGCTATCCCCACCCCCCGCCTGCCTCCCGACCACCTCCTGTGCTTCCCAGCGTGGCCGCGCCCCACGTGCTGCCCTTTGGGGAGAAGGAGAACCTATGGGAGATGGGCGAGGTGGGCCCATGCGGCCCGTGCTCCGAGATCCACTACGACCACGTGGGCGGGCGGGACGCGAGTGGCCTCGTCAACGCCGGGCACCCGGACGTGGTGGAGATCTGGAACCTGGTGTTCATGCAGTACAACAGGTGCGCCCGGTGGTCAGAGCAGCACAAGCGGGGCATGGGCCAGCGGCGACACAGCGACGGCCTGCCATCCTGTGAGAAACCCAAGACGTAGTAATCTGTGAAAAAGAGCCAAATAGTTATTTCGGGATAAATAAAGATTCTGACTGATAAACATTCTAAAGATTCTACATCATGAGGCCTCCTTTGCCAGTACCAAAATATAATAATAGGGTTTTTCCCCTTTATTCTGGTGACAAAACTGAAACCTGTTGTAAGGATTCATGTTTACATTAATCACAATACTTGCAGTAAAAATGCAAACAAATGCTTACCCCGAGCCCTCATTACTCTGATAGTGCGTTGTCTTTGAACTGTGCGCTTTTTGGCGTCATCTGGTCGAACACCTCATGAGACTAGGCTCTAAGGAAAGCTGTCTCGGGTGTGGACCAATGAGTTTCAAGGACAATGCATCAATTATCAAAGTGTTGTTTTTTGTTTGCATTCTGACTGCAAGTATTGTGGTTAATGTCAACATGATTCCTTGCAAAAGGATTCAGTTTTGTCGCCAGGAAAAAGGGGAAAAACCCTATTATTATTCTAAAGATTATAAAACACAATAATGAAGGAAGTGTCTGGGTGCCTCATGGGCTAGAGCACCTCGCCGGCACCGCTGAGATTCTCAGTCCGAATCCAGACATTGCTCTGTAACAGGGCAGATGGGAAACGGCTGCCCCGTACTGCGTGGATCGGAGATTACTTAAATAGATCTCAGAAGTAGTTTTGTGACATCTGCTTCCGTGATTCATTCTCGAGCATGGTGGGATGCGCTGCTCTGCGAGAGTTCCAAATGGAATCTACATCTCGTATCGTGACATAGCAAAATTTGGATAACATTGGGGAAAAGAACCCAACAATTGTCAATTTTATCATTTTGTCTGATAAACCTGTACTGCTCTTGTAAATCTGTTACCCGTGTTTAATATATGAGTGGTTGATACCAATGGCACCTGGGTCTATTCGGTGACGTCCTGCCAGCGGGCGTTCGACACTTCACGTGGCCTTAACGTGCACATAGTCTGGCACAAGCACCGTGGTGACGTCACCGCCACTTAGTGGCAAATGGCGGTTGTTGTTATTGTGTGAGGAGCGGTAGTGCGGTGGTGAGCGCACTGCACTATATAGCAACCCAAGTTTGATTCCCACTCACGACCAATGTCAGTGGTCTATATTTGGACCAATCTTGGGCCTCTCCAAAGTTGACTCAACCTCAAATTAATACTTGGTATGGGTACGGTGTGTAAACATCAGCACTGGGGAGACAAAGGTGGCCGGGCGTGGTGTTGGTCCACTGACCCCCTCGTATGCCACGTCGGCTTCCATAGGTGCTCGCTGACAGCACTACACAGGGGATCTTTGTCTTTGCGCGGCAGGGAGGAGAACGGAAGCCTCCGTCTCCTGCCGCGCCACAACGTGGACTGCGGGATGGGCTTCGAGCGCCTGCTGGCCGTGCTGCAGGGCAAGCGGTCCAACTACGACACCGACCTCTTCACGCCCATCATGAGCGCCATCCACAAGGTCGGCCCAGCTCCCCGCTGCCCCCGGTGTGCGGTTCCATCGGAACCACGGTGCAGGAAACTCCTACTCTAGGCTGTGCTAGCACGGTTGGCTACGTACCGTGCGAAAGAAGTTCAACACACATACATAATATATATACGTAGTTGCCATTTAACGATGCTTTTGTTACATTGACTGAAGTATTTTACTCCAAGGTGCTGCACAGTGTTGTTTGTGGGAGATTGGTTCAGATGACTCTGGCAGTCACTGGAGGTGCAACGGTCAGTCAACCACAATGTCAAAACTATTTTTTGTATTCTTAAATCAAAATCAATCCCTGTAGAAAATCGCAGCGCTTCATTAGTTAGGATTGCAGGGATACGTTGGGTGGCGGTAGGGGTTGGGAATCGTCACAGGCCTACCGATAGCGGGTTGTGGTGTGCACTTCACGATGCGAGCCTGTGCTGTGCACCGCGTCCTGCAGTGGTGCGTACCGCTGCATCGTGGCTTTGTGCTGTGCCCCACAGCCACGTGCTGAGGCCCAGTGCTGCAGGTGGTTGTGCGCGGTGCAAGACGTGCGACGTCGTTGGCACTCTACTGTGTGCCGTGCTCTACCGTGTGCCGTCGTGTTCCACAGTGTGCCGCGAATTGCCACAAGGATGCACCATCCTTGTTGCGCCCTAACCCCCGCCGCGCGCCGTTCCCGACTCGCAGGGCACAGGCGCGCGCGAGTACCGCGGCCTGGTGGGCGAGGCCGACGAGGGCCACGTGGACACGGCGTACCGCGTGCTCGCCGACCACGTGCGCACCCTGGCCGTGTGCATCGCTGACGGCGTCTACCCCGGCATGACCGGCGCCGAGTACGTACCACGGCCTGGCACACGAATACGCAGCGTTACATTGCAAAGACAAAAGAGAAAGATTCCCCGTGTAGCCTTAATAGACTGTAGGGAAAAGTGCTGTTAGCGAGCACCTATTAAGGTCAGCACGGCACACGAGGGGGGGGTGGGTGGCCAACATCACGCCCGGCTGCCTTTGTCTCGCCAGTGGTGATGTTTTTACACACCGCACCAGGTACTCATTTGAGGCTGAGTCGACCTAGGGGATGCCCAGGAGCGGTTCAGATAACCGTCACTGGTGTTGGCCGTGAGCACAAATCGAACTCGGATCTCCGGGTTCGTAGCGCAGCGCGCTAACCACTAAACTACTGCTCCCCACAATGTTACACACAGCCTGGCACACACACAATGCCCATGCCATACCTTGGCGTACACACAGTGCCCTACACCCATGTCACATACACACCATACCAGATCATACACAGCCTGGCAACACACAGCACTCAACACCATGGTGACTATGGCACACATATCCTTGTATGGACACCATGACACACACCATACAGCAGTGATCTCGGGAGATGTGTGTATGTGTGCTTGCGTGTGTTGTGTCCGTGTGTTGATGGATTTCCTGTTGGGCCCGTGTGTACCTAGGCTGGTTCTGCGACAAATCCTACGTCGCGCGACGAGATTTGCCATCGAGACGCTGCGGGCCCAGCCAGGGTTGCTGGCCAGCCTGGTGCCCACGGTGGTCGACATCCTGGTGCAGCTTCCCCTGATCTTCTGCCCTCTCACCGTTGCCACGCCGTCGTGACCTCGCCGTCACGTTGACCTGAGAATTACCAGACCTCACCTTGCTGTCACCACACCACATTGATCTCACAAGTGCCACCCCGGCCGTGATCCGTATTGCGACCTTCATCCTCGCCCTCGCCCCTGCTTCACCATTCTCTCCCTGCCCACGGCGCCCTCACTCCCCACAGTCCTCTTGGTGACAGAGAACGATGCAAAACCTATTGCCGTTCGTGCACATTGATGACGCCTGCCGCGCTTGTCTTTCGCAGGGCGACACGTACCCCGAGTTGAACAGAGAGGCTCAGGTGGTGAGTGTTAAAAACACGCACCAACAAACTCCCCATATTTGTATAACACTGCTGTCCCCCGTTTGTTTGTGATTGGACGCTTTGCAATTAAGATTGCCTGTGCCGCGAACCGACTCTGTTCCTCCGCCCCGGTCCACGGTGCCTGTGCCGGATTATCCCAGTAGCAAAAGTAGCTACGATATGCTACGTGCCCCGCACTTTCAAGGGCACCGCGCTAAATGCTTTCAAGATATCGAATCCGGTTCAGTGATTCTACACTAGCTCTATTACTATAGTACTATACTGCCTTCAACTTTTATGAACGACTGGGTGACTGGGTGTTAGCGATTTGCTTTTAAGGGATTACATCTTGAATCATTGCCTCACTTGATGCAGCTAATCCGGCTGTGACGGTCCCACCTGATGACGGAGACTTGTGTTGCCTCCGAAACGTCGTGATTTTTATTTTTTATTTTATTTTATTTTCATTAATTTTGATGTTTTACCTACGTGACTTTACCGAAAAAACCTAAGAATATGAATCCTTGCAATCACGAAAGCTTCAAATCTAGAAAGAATGTTAGCGATTTGTCGTATTATCTGTGGCTGTATAGCAAATGAAAAAAATACAATTACAATGCAAGTAAAAAAAATGGTTTTTTAATATTTATGTGTTTTTATTTTATTCCGGGGCCCTTAATAACGTATGCTACAGGCCTCGCACTAGCTTAACCCGGCACTGCGCGGTGCCCGCCCCGGGCGCGGTGCCCCTCGCGCAGGTGATGGACGTGATCAATGAGAACGAGGCGGCGTTCCTGTCCTCGCTCTCCCGGGGCCGGCGCCTAATGGAGCGGACCGTCGCCAAGATGGGCACAGCGAGCGCCTCCTTCCCGGGTACTGGCGGCACGCGCCCCGGGGTCAATTGTAGTCGCAATTGCAGCAGCATTTGTAGCCAAAGTTACAATTACGTTTTGCGACGTCACTACACTTGTGGCTGCGGCGACTGTATATCCAACATTGCTGGGGTGACAGTGCGGTGATGTCATTCGAGTGTGCCCAGCCTGGCTATGTACATGCGTGGCTCTCTTTTTTGTTAACTCACTGCTGGATGATGGCCTCCCCATGCTGTGCGGTTCACGGGGTTTATTTGATTTGACCGCGCTGGTCATTGGGGAAGGCATGGAACATTGACGTGGGGGCATAGAACTACACTACGACAGTGTGTTTTGCTACACTCCCCTCTGCTGCCGTCACGTAGCTCGGCAGCCCATGACATCCGTTATGAATGGTGGTTGCCCATCCAGGCACCATCCAGGTTTAACTGTGCTTAATATAGAGACATCTGAAAAGCATGGGCACATTGCTGGTGATTTGGTCATAGGCTCAGCCCCAATGCATATCCTGGAAAACAAGATTGATTTGAGATTGATTTGTTTTTCACGAGTTCCGTCGTTAATCACGGGGGATTGGATCGAGTTTAAAACAGCAGCGTGCGCTGGGGAGCGAAGTGACGTGGAGACGAGCGGCACGCTGTGTTCCGCCCGTGCTCGGCGCGTGTGCAGTGGACGTGGCATGGTCGCTGCACCGCGGCCTCGGCTTCCCCTTCGACCTCATCCACCTCATGCTGGACGAGCGGGGCCTCTCGCTCGACACGGTCGCCTTCAACGAGCTTGAGCGGGCGGAGGTGGGTGCAGCAGCACACACGCCAAGGCACACCAAGACACCACACCAAGACACAGATTGGCTACGTACGGTGCGAAAGAAGTTCCACATACATACGTACTCCACAACAGCAAAAACAACCAACATTCGCCACTAAGTAGTGGTGATGTCACCACAGCGCTTGCGCCAGGCTAGGTGTACTATGAGGCCACGTGAAGTGTTGAAGGCTCATTGGCAGTTGACGGAATAGGCCCTCTTGCTTTCGGTTGACCGATCATGGTGACTGGCAGATGCACCACCCGCATTCCTCACTACCACTTGGCTGTGGTGTAGGCACCTGGCGTTCTGCTCATTGTGAAATCTACACCCACGCAGACACGTGCACCTACTGCACTCACGTCCACACACACGGGCGAAAACGCACGCACACTGACGCGTGTGTACACGTGTACACGTGTACACAACTCGGCAGCGCACGCCGACACACGCCGTCTCGACGCGCGCGTGTGGTGCATGCAGCTGAGGAGAGCGCAGCAGCAGAAGCAGGAGGGGGAGAAGGGAGAGGCCCCCGGGCGAGAGTCTCTCCTGCTGGACGTGCACGCACTGGACGAGCTGCGCAGCAGAGGTGTCCCCGCCACCGACGACGCCGCCAAGTACGCGTACGAGCTGCGCCCCGACGGCCGATACGGTACGATGGCCCCCGAGGTGCACGTGGTACTCACGGAACACACGGGGTCGCACGGCATCACGGCGTCCGCAAATGTGATTGTAAAGTGGTACCTTGTGTCTCATCTGTATGGCTACGTCTCGGCGAGCCGCATCTGTTTGCGCGCCACTGCCAGGCCCGTAGGTCACATCTGGGCTGAAGGGCGCCAATTGAAGAACCCTGGCTTAGTGGTTCTAAAGCCTACGGTATAACCACGCCAGACACAGCAGCGCGGACACAGGTGCACGAGTCTCAAAGTGACGCCCGTGGTCGCGGCCGTGGCGTCGGCGTCTGTCGCGGTGCAGAGTTTGCCCGGTGCTCGGCGCGGGTCGTGGCCGTGTGGCGCCGGCCGGGTCTGAGCGACGTCGTGGGGGCCGGAGAACGCTGCAGCCTCGTGCTCGACGCGACCTGCTTCTACAGCGAGCAGGGCGGCCAGGACGGCGACACCGGCGTCTTGCTCGCGGTCGACGCCGCCGGGCAGCAGGTGCGGGCTACGGGCGGGGCATTCGGCCAAGAGACGAGAGGGGCCGGCGTCAGCATGCGGTTGCAACCGTCGAACCGACGCCAGCCCTACGTCGGCCCGACTTGGGCCCGACGTCGGCCCGACGTCGTTCCGTGTTTTACTGGGTTGCGCCCCGCTCGTGTTGTCGCAGGACATCGTGGCCATGGTAGAGGACGTGCAGGTGTGCGGGGGGTTCGTGCTGCACCACGTCGTCACACGTGACACCGTCCGCGTCGGGGACCGGCTGCTCCTCGCCATCAACGAGGTCTGAGATGCTACCGCATTTAAACACGTCGCAAAACCCCGGTCGAATCGCGCTTGTTTATTACAGCGTATGCCGTGGCCAGCATTTGTACACGCAATCGTTTTTGTTATGTCTATGGAATAGGAATACAACTAAATCTGGTGTGGTGACGCACTCCTGCGACCCAGCGTTTTAAAGGCAAACGGATCGTGTTCGATGTGGAAGTTCCTAATCTGCTGGGCTGCGTGATGGCCAGGAGATGGCAGTATGGTAAATGGGATATGAACTCATCTGGTCAGAACTTTGAATTATCCCAAAGTACTGTACGCGTATCGTGAACTTGCTCGACGAATCGAGACGAATTGAGGGGCACCACGGTGGCTAAATAGTTACTACCTCACCTGGTATGCAGGAGATCGTGGGTTTCGATCCCGACCCTGACGCCTGTATATTTGGAGTTTGCATGTTCTCTTGTGGTCGCTTGGATTCTTCTCCGGCCCTCTGGTTTTCCCTCCAGATTTATAAACTTGCATTTATTTGGCTGCTATATTATTTGGCTGCTATACATTTCTATATTATAAGCTGTCATTTGTGGCCAGGTCGTTTCTGAAAAAGAGCTATATCGCTCAGTGGGCATTACCTGGTAAAATACAAATATGGTTTTATAGATTCATTTAATCGTTACTCACCGAGTCATTTCCCACACGTGAATTGTTTCTGGGGCCTCAGGCTCGACTAGTGGTTTACGGTTCTTCTGCCCCCCCTACGTGCCCGTGAAAATAATTTAAAATTTACACAAATTATATGGCAGTGTTACATTCAGACTCACGGAACCAAGAAATCTCCAAATGAGATGAAAAAGTAGAAAAAGAAAATCGTTGAGAGGATAAAACCGTGGCAATAAAATTGACTTGTGTAATAAATTGCAAACGCAAATCGTGACACTTCATCGAATCGCCGCGCCGTGAATCGTTCCGGACCGAGCGGTTGGTGGCTGCGCCGGCGTCTGGTCGAGCGCCGGTGCCGACATCCGCATCGCTGTGTCCTTAGGAGCGCCGCCTGGGCTGCATGATCAAGCACACGGCCACGCACCTCCTAAGCCAGGCCCTGCGCGACGTCCTGGGCAACGCGACGCAGCAGAGGGGCTCCCACGTGGCGGCCGACCGCCTCCGCTTCGACTTCTCCACCAGGGTGAGACACGCTCGCTGGCAGTCGGGCCGGCGTTGCGGCGCCGCGGTGGCAAGATGTTACCTACCTCGCCTGGTTTACAGGGGGTCGTGGGTTCGATACCGACCCTACGCCTGCTGTATATTTGGAGTTTGCATGCTCTCTCTCTTTCTCCCCGTGGTCGCGTGGATTTTTCCACGGGTCCTCCGGTTTTTCCCTCCGCAATTAGAAACCTGTTTAGAGTGTTTGGCTGCAGGTGTACTTTCAGGTGCTGTACAACAAAATTCATGGAGATATATTTGTTTAATATTTAAGATGCTGTACACCAAGCAGGACGTGCACATCGTGAGGAAACCACCAAAATCCATGGAGATATTTTGTTTAATGTTTAATATGCTGTACAACAAGCGGGACATGCACATCGTGGGGAAACCACCAAATCCATGGAGATATGTTTGTTTAATATTTAAGATGCTACCTTGATAGGAGACAGTCATGGGCAGAAGAGAAGAGGAAGGACTTACGCCTGGACTGTAACAGGGAGCTGACAGCTTCGGTGGCCCTTAGGGGAGGGCATTCTCTCAGAAGGGGCAGCAATAGACCAGGAGCAAGCAGACCTCCCATTGAGTGGATGTCGACAGACTTGTCACAGAAAACCTTGGGTTCCAAGAGTAGAGAGCATGCGAAGAGAAGTCGAGGGTCATGTTACATTTACCGAATTCCACTTCCATTGTGATATACACACAAAGATATCCCATATAGCTGTAGCAGACTGTTAGGGCAAGTGCTGTTAGCGAACACCTATCAAAGCCACCATGGAACACGAAAGAGTGGGTGGCCAGCACCGTGCCCGGCTGCTTTTAACTCCCTAGTGGTCTATGTTTACATCGCACCAGGTATTCCTTTAAGGCTGAGTCAACCTAGGCGAGGCCCAAGATAGGTTCAGTTCATCGTCACCGGTGTTGGCCATGAGCGAGATTGAACTCGGGTTGCCGAGTTGATGGTGCAGTACGCTAACCGAGACACTACCGCTCCCCAAAGACAAAGACCCCCCATATATCCTGAACAGACTGTTGGGCAAGTGCTGCTAGCGAGCACTTACCACTACCCCACACACGCACAAACACGAGCACATTAACCCCACACGACCTTTTCCATTGGTTTCGTCACCTGCTCACCCGCCGTACATTCCGCCCAGTCACCAGCAGCTCAGCCGAGCGAGCGCCCGCGCGTTGCCATTCTTCCCGTGCCTTCTGCAACTGGTTGGTGCCGCGTGTTTGGCCGTGTGTCCCCCCTCCCCCCGCCGCCACGTGCGCGTTCTCAGACGCCCGTGTCGGTGGACCAGCTCCGCTCCGTGGAGGCGGCCGTCTGCCGCCTCGTGTCGGCCGACGAGAGGGTGTTCGTGGCGGAGGCCCCGCTGGCCTCAGCCCGCCGCATTCCGCACCTGCGCTGCGTGGACGAGGCACGCGCGACCGCACGGGTGGACACGTCAATCCCTGCCTCATCGTTTTAGGAAGCTGCCCTTTGGCCTCTTGTGGTGGACGAGCGGAGTTGGGTGGACGTCCGTCCGGTATTCTGTCCGTGGGTGGGCAGGTCGGGTACCTCGGCCTAGTCGCCCTTCGATTGGTAATTGTCGGTGTCATTGCCGAATTGTAAACTTAGAAATAGAGCCACAGTGGAAATTCAGATTGGTAATTGGCGCTTCGAGGGAGTTTTTTTTAACCCCTTGCTCATGTGCCAGTTGGCTGGCTGTAATTTGTGGGTGGAGTGTATGAGGAGTGTCACCCTTGCTCACTTCCGTCTTCTCTCGAGACAAAGCGATCATCGTCTCAGCTCCAGTCGAAGCTGAAGCAACATCCAGTTCTCCTATGTTTTTCCATTGTCCGATGGATGCACTTGGCTCCTCACCAAAAGAGGATCACAGCAGCACTCACACACGCATCTGGGCACAACACAGCGGCAGGGCACAGCACTAGTTGCCTCGTATAGGACGATAGCTTTATTCTTAGCGGATGCGTCACCCTATTAACACTGATGTTCTGATTGCCCTATTTCACCCCAATGCTTTATGTCAAAATAAATCCCGTTTCACATTTCCTCCGAGGGCCACTGCAGTTTTCCATACCCGATAGAGATTCAGTGCTCTCGCCTTACTCGTCCAAATACAGGATGTGCAAAGCTTACAGGAAGCCAGTGTACATTATTTCCCAACGTTCATGTCTCTTTAGACTACGTCTCTTTTAACGAAAGCTTCATAATCTGTAGACGTTCTTCATAATCTAACACGACGAGCCATGTTCCTAGGGCTACTCGCGTCTTACAAAGACCAATGCGTGGCCCTCAGCATTAGCGGCAGTAGCAGGCGGTAGCCATGTCAAGTGACTGCCTGCCTGCCTCAAATCTTGCTATGGAGCTGCTGTCTCTCATACGCCGCACTGGGTGTAGCCCCACTGTCAGTATTTCAATCAGTTGGGGGGGCGCTAATTCATGTTTTGAACAATGAGAAGCTCGCGTCCGTGAGTGGTCACACACCCCCAATGATCTGGGTGTACAGCCCTGTCCGGCCTCACTCGGGCTTCAGCGCTCATCCAGCGACGAGTCTGATGAGACCACCTCGTTGCTCTCGTCATCCAACCACCTCGTGCTATTTATCTGTCGTGGTAAACTCACCGGTTGTACGGAATGAGCGAACTGAAGGGAGGCTTCGAGTTGTGGAGAGAGACGGACGAAAGGGTGGAGGGCAGCGGAGAAGAATGGAGTTGTGCGCTGCGGTGCGCAGGACTACCCGGAGGAGGTGCGCGTGGTGTCAGTGGGGACTCCCGCCGAGCAGCTGCTTCGACAGCAGCAACACACGGACGGCGCTGGCTCCGTGGAACTCTGCTGCGGCACGTACGTACACCGCCGCCGCCGCCACCGCCGCCACCGCCGCCACTGCCGCCACGCCAAACTTCTCACCGCTCGCGTGGCTTGTGCTCCTGATGAGACTTTGCTGTAGTGATTCGTGGGTTCCAAGTTTCCAAATGCTTTATTTGGACACTCGAGGTCAGACGATTCATGCTTCTGCTTTGATTCAGTCATAATTTGGCATCATGAGTTGATTCACAAATCGGGTTTTATTCTTCCGGTGAGTGTAGTGGATCTTAGCCGTCAGAGGGGTCGCATGATCCCATTACAAATCACTCTGATTGAAAATATCGATTCTTACAAATGTGATTTATGCAAGTATCACGAGCCTATGAAACTATTCATCCATGCATTGGTACATCTCTATTGGCCACCCACCGGTACAAGTTGCTAAAATGGTCAAGACTGTCGTGTCATGTGACCTTGCACCTGTCGTTTGTGGCTCCCCCCCCCCACCTGCCCCCCCCCCCCCTCCCCGCCTGACCCTCAAACTCAGTCACCTACAGCGGACGGGGCTCATCGAGGATTTCGTGATCGTGTCTGAGCGAGCAATGGTCAAGGGGCTGAGCCGCGTCGTAGCCGTCACGGACCGGGAGGCTCGCGAGGTGAGATCGGGTGAGGCCTTCAGGGCACACGGGGGAGAGATCACCCCGTGCCCGCGATGGCTGCTCGCGATCGGGCAAACAGGTATTGTATGTTGAACTTCGTTGGCACCGTACGTAGCCAACCGTGCTTATCGAAGGTGTGGGGGAAGGACAACAAGAAGTCAACACACCACGGAACTACGCAGCATTGTGAAGGTCTCCAATCCTCGGACGTTTGGTGATTGAAAACATTCACAATCAAAACCTTCATAGTGCAGGACTGGTAGATGTTAATTGCATGTTCTGAATCTTTTTTTCATTACATTACAATTGTGCTATTGGTGATCATATGAGCGTGCAGTGAACCACCTTGTGTCAAAATAAGATGTCATTTATCTGCAAGGGAACCCTTATCCACACTAGGAGCACACATTTTATTTTGCCCAACGTGCCAATCAAACCAACATTTGTTTTGTTCTAAGCTGCAATTTTCAGAATTTAGGGGAAAATGATATGTAATATGGTTGAGCTTTGTGTGTGCAGTCATTGGTGACTGGGCCAAGACCAACTCGTGTGTGTACACGTGCGTGTACGTGGTAGTGTAGCAGTTAGCGTGCTAGTTGCCCGGGTTTGATTTCTGCTTACGGCCAACACCAGTGACAATTATCTAAACCAGTCCTGGGCCTACCCTAGGTCGACTTTGCCTCAAATGAGTAGCTGGTGCAGTGTGTAAACATTGCCACTGTGCAGACAAAGGCAGACGGGGCTTGGTGCTGGCCACCCCACCCCCCTCCTGTGCCGGCCTTCATAACAGCACTTGCTCCAGCCGCCTGTCAAGGCTATACGGGGGATCCTTGTCCTTTGCACGTGTGCGCGAAGGCTCGCCGGACGGGAGAGGCGCTGGCGCAGCAGGCGGACTCGCTGGGCGAGCGGGTGGCCCACGGTGCGGCCTCGCTCCCTCGTCTGCTGGGCCTCTCCAAGGAAGTGGGCCAGCTCACCGACGTGGGTCTCGCTCCGCCGTCACCTCGCCTCCAATGCAGCTCGATTACTAGAGTCGTTTTACGACAACCAAGTTGGTGAATGTTTTGGTAAAATTTTTTAAAGCGTCTGATGATTTGGGCGGGGAGGGGGAATGGAAACGTGCATCATCATGGGACTTGAACAGTGGAGTTTGGGATGTGTATGCAGCTCTGTATGCGCAACACTTTTTCTAGTTAACATTCAGCTTCCTTATTGCTGACACAAGTTTGTTTACAAAGCGTAGCATTAAATATTTAAGAGCGACTCAGTCGACAAAATTTGACTTGTTTATCACCCAGTTTGCCCGCTCGAGTAACACGCCGGCTCATTGAAAGATCTATAGCTGCTTTATCTACACTAAGATGTCAACAGGGATACGCACAGGGCGGCGGGCACTGGTGACACGTTGAGTTCATGTCTCCTTTTCGCCGACCTCCACAGGTTGTGGACAGAGCGGTGATGCCTCAGTGGCAGCGGAAAGAGCTGCAGCAAATGCTCAAGACCATGCAACGCAAGGCCAACACAGCGGTCCGCAAGCTCAGGACCTCTCTGGTAACAATAATAATAATAAACTCGATTATCTAAAGCACAATTCTCACACGGCCTCAAAGCGCTTTACATGAAGCTTAAGTTATGGAGAAAGCATGTTGTAAAAGGAGGTGAATTTTAAGACACGATTTAAAAGTGTAACAGATTCAGATTCCCGAATGGACTGAAGAGGAAAGGAATTCCACGATCGCGGAGCATGTGGCTCCAAAAAGCTCCGTCTCCCATAGAACAAAGTCTTGTCTTTTGAATATTGAATGAGTCGATCAGAATCAGCAGATCTAAGTTTTTTGCAGTGCAATATAAAACTGAAGCAGATCGGTGAGTCATTTAGTAGCCAACTCATTCAAGGCCTTTAACACGAGAAGAAGAATCTTCAAGTGGATTCTGTACTCTACAGGGAGCCAGTGCAGGGAGGAAAGAAATCGACGATTGAAGGTTAAGGGTACCGTAGATGTGAGGATGTTGTCGACTGTACAAATGCATTTTTGATCAAATTCCGCTCTATGCCGTGCGCTGAGTTCAGGCCGAGAAAGCCGCCGAGACGCTGGCGGAGAAACACGCGAACGAGACGCTCATCGTGGACGTGATGGAGGCGGAAAACCTGTCGGTAATTACAGAATGAGCGACCGCGTGGTGGCATCGGTGCTCGCGCAATTCCAGCTCGGTGTCACAGATTGTGCACAGAGCGCCCGCCACGACGGGCAGTGGCCCCGCACTGTCTGCCGGCTGCCAACGCCCTTGATGCACTGCACGATAAGCAGATTGCCATGCATCGATTAATATCGCAATCCAACACGTGACTATCGTGATAAGGGAGCGTTGGGTAATGAAGGGAGTATTTTCAGCTTGCGTTTCACACAACTGCATATGCAGTGGTTAATGGGCACGCAACGACGCGTTGATTCGTCAGCTACACGGCTCACAATGCCGATTGTGCGCGCGAGAATCAATTATTTTCAATCCATATACAGTGCGTTGGAATCGATTCACGCAACCCCCTGACACCACTAGAGGCGACCGCTTGTGTTGTGATCGAAACGTAGTTTTTTGTTATTTTCTTTTCACCTATCTACGTGACTTTACCGAAAGACCCAAGAATATCGACAATCACCGCCATGTACAGAGACAATGGACTCTGAAATTAAGTTGACAATTCAATGAATTGCGTGGTGGGATGGGTGGATTGGGGAGCATCAAGGAACACATGCCGACTGAACAAGCGCACTCTCACGCGTGGTTCTATGCAGGTGCTGGTGAGGACGGTGAACGAACTGAGCAGGGCGGTGCCTGACGCCCGCGTCCTGCTGATGAGCATTCAGCCCGGCGGGCAGCTCCTGTGCGCCTGTCAGGTGCCAAAGGTGAGCGTCGCCAGCGAATGACCCGCGGCCACGGGGGGGGGGGGGGGGGGGGGTTCTGGATCAGTGGAGCGGCAACCGGGACACTTTTAGAGTCTCATTCTCAGCCCAGCACTTGGTACACATGCTTTTATTGACTTGGCAAACATTGGGGCAGCAAAAGTGTGAGTGCTCAACGCCTGAGATCGGGTTGAGGAATCTCTCGTGAAACCCTGGGTTATTGCATTACATAATAACGAACAATGATTTTAATTACTTTCTCAATCCACTGCTGGATGAAGGCCTCTCCATGCGGGGGTGCCCAGGACAGGCTCCAATATTACTCGCCACTGATCTTAGCCTTGGTCTGGCATTGACATGCGGTCGCATTCCATGTCCACGTAAACTGCCTGTACATGCCAGCCAAGAATAGATATCCTGAGAAGGTATTTTTGCCTAAATCTGGAGCCATGAGGTACCTCTTTGCTACACAGCTGTCCGGCCAGCCTTCGGCAGTAGAAAACACGGCAGGCATGCGAGACGCACATTGGGACACGAGAGTTAATCCATTTTACTTTTATGGCTATAGATTACTTTCATGACACCGTTATACTAAAAATATCATTCACCCCCCCCCCACCCCTTATGATTTATGAATTGATTCAGTATTATTAAATTAAATAGCTTATTTAACAATGTGGTGAATGCAGTGGTCACGAGTGCCCACAGGGTTCATGTGAACCCATTACCTACAAACATCTACATTATTAGGCAAATAATAAAATTCACGTTTTGACATTAATACGCATAGGTGCATCAACGCAGCGTCACACCTCCTTGCCAGAAGATATTGCCGAGCTTCGTGCTGGTTAAGACTTCGGCGTGGGGGCACTGTCACTGTGCCTGCCGTTGCAGGAGATGGTCGATGCATTCCCAGCGCTGGACTGGGCCCAGGCCGTGTGCGGTCCCATGGGCGGGAAGGCGATCGGCTCCCAGTTCCTGGCCAAGGTCTCGGCCACAATTGGAGACCACGGAAACAGCACTGCCGCGATCGTAGACGCAGCTCTCCGGCGTGCGAGGGCGGAATCGTGATGGCCGCCAGTTTCACCACAAACTTCCTCTCTCTGCTGCTCAAGCTTCAGTCCAGAGCCCCACATCTGGCCCAGCTTTACAAGTCTGATGATCTTGATAATGCGTCTGCTGGTTTGTGGGGTTTGAAAATCGGATGAGACGTTTGACATTTGCGGGCTTGAAAAGAAGTACTGTGACTGATCAACAGAAAACCACTTGGCCATGAGGACTTGGCTGTTTGGAAGAGACGTCAATGCGTCTGTATGTGTACTACGGGTTTTCTTTCGGAGAAAATCTCAACTAGGCCACCACAGCAATAGACAATCAATGTGCGGCATCACGCATCCCGTTTAAACCGGCCCCATGTACCACGCATACAGGGGCCCATGAGACGACGCCTCCCCGTGCACCGGCATCCACAAACAATCTCCCGGGTCGGAACCGACATCGCGTCTGCGGGCTTCCCAGCCACCAGGGTCCATGCAATGTGCGTTGGTGACCGTGCATCTCCTCTGAAAAAGCATCAGTGTACCCCGCCGAGCATAAATCAAAGAACATGTCCTTGTGTTTTTTTGTCAAAACATGGTTTATTAAAAACGGCTCGCTGAATAGACACGTAACGTGCTTCACCTTTGCCTTATAAAGCTTTTCATACAGGTAGCATTCCAAAGGGGGCTGCTCATCAACAATGGTTATGTGAATTGAAAAACGATTGTGTCACATACCGCAAAAAGGTTAATTGTTTTTATATTACAAAAGGCAGAGTATTACTCTATTGTCCCTTTCGTTTAAGGCTTTGTTGTTCTCAGCAAAAATATCGATACTGAGGACCAATTACAGACTGGAATGATTCAACCCTGTAGAAATGTGATGCATGGCATGAATAAGGTGTGGCAACTCAAGGCCTAAATCAAATATTTCTTTCTCCCCGTATAATCGTGAATGTCTTTATGGACATTTGGTAAACGCATTTTTGAAATTAAACTGACAGAAATGGACACTATAGACTACTAATCAACCTTGACATTGGGTGCAAGTAACATTGGTGACTTTGAAAGTATGCTGCACAGCTACCGACAGTATACCCCCAGTATCCTTCCCATCTACACTCAGACGAGTACAGCCTTGACACATCTGCTAGCCGTTTGTCTCAATTTTTTCTGCTTGCACTGTATGTCTTCTACACTATTTTTTTGCCTTTTGTTGGCACTTTTTGTCTGGTCTCGTCTATCTACCCTCACCGGTCTGCTCTGGCATGAACACAAAATGAAGATCGGACGCAACTTTACATTAAATGCAGAAGCAACATTTGATTAAGGAAAACGATTCAATGCGTGAATGCATCAATCTTGACAAGAATTGACTTTCATCAACGCATCGTCCAGTGATTCAATTACATGCCCAGTTTGGATCACCCTTGCTAGGATGGCGAGAAGATCAACGCGCCAAGAGCCCCCTTTAGGAACTGCTGATCTCAGCCTGTGATCGCTTGGGGACGCAAGGTTTCTTAAACCCAGGCCAAGCTTTCACATCTCAATGTCAGAAAGCTTATGTTTGTTCATCAATCCATTTGTATTTTTTTCTCTCCATAAAAGAGCAAAGGGCTCAATGTACAGCAGAGAACACGTAGAAATACGACGTACAATACTTGCGTAAAAGTAAACAAGTTGTATACAAATTCCACTGAAATGCAACAAAAACACACATTCTTCATTTAAAAGCATAATGAGTAATGACTGCACTTGTCTGCACGAGCTAAGGTTACTATGGCATAGGCAGCGGGGAAAATGAATGTGTGATGGCAATTGCAGCACTCAGCTGGTAAGGGTAACACACAAAGTGGGTGAATGTTATTTAAATCTACATTAACACAGACTACTGGGTCTAAACTGGCGAGAAATTCATCACAGGCAACTAGTAAAAATTTGTTTCACTTCGTAGCACACGGACGCACCCTCCAGGAATGTATGTTGTGAATTTGATGATGTAAATTGATGTTTTGTGTTTATAAAAAGTAGAGGCAATAAAAATCCGAGAGGTTTTGAGTGTTGCTAAGCCAGAAACGAGTTGAGATCAGTGACAATACTTGCGTACTTAAAAAAATATAAAAGACGCAATCCAAAAAAACCTACCCAGGCTGTCCAACATGAGTATAAAAAACTTTGTTATAAAAATTGCAAGTGACTTTCAGGCGAGTTGTCTGAGGACTCCAGCAGTGACTTGTGTCACCCTGCTGCAATTTCACTGGACCCACTACTACAGTGTCGCCGAATTCCACTTGAAAATACTTTTTCTCATTAAGAAATCTTAAAACTTGTGTTGGACAACTTGTGACGTGCAACCCAGGTACGGGTCTACAAGAGCTCTTTTGATTGCGGATGCGTCAACCCTTAATGGCAACACTTTGAAAAAACACTGAATATTTGCCACTCATTAAATAGCGGAAAGATAATTTAAAACCTCAGAAGCTCTCGTGCAGACACTACACATGTCTGCACATTCCCACTTACACACAGGTGTATGTTTGTCTCGCACAGACGAAGGGGAGTAGGTTAGTATACACAGGACGGAGAGCTGGGACAGCCCTGGCGGTCATCCCCACGCCTCACGATGCAGCAGCATCACCAGGGAGTACGCGACAGGGACGTATGGCAGTGGGTGGCTGAAGCCTGCTTGCACATACACATACACAGGGATCCCTCCGTTAAGCTGAACAGACTGAGACAAGTGCTATTAGCAAGTGCCTATCAAGGACAATACAGAATGTAGAGTTTTTATGTATAACTTAGCCCCCCGCATGATGTTGATCCTTACCTTTAACACCGGCAAACCTGGAAACACTTGTTTAAAAGGCCACAAACTGCTGATGAGTAAATTTTATATATATAGTTTGCCTGCTGACACAAACGCTGCTGGAAAACGTTCATCCGGAAGGCCCAATGTGCATAAAATCCCACATTCTCTGGTGTTAAAACAGGCCTTGTACCGGTTTACAATGAATCGCTTATTAATAGCAGCATTACACAAGCAACCCTTTCCCAATTGTGACTAGTTACGTCTGGCTGCCTTTGTCATCCCAGTGCTGGTGTTGAACATACCACACTGCAAATGGCACTCACTTTTGGCTGAATATATCCATGTCGAGGTGTAAGGGCAGCACAGTGGTGAGCGCACTGCACTGTGAACCTGGCGACCTGATTTTGATTTCTGCCCACGGCTAACATCAGTGGTGAGTGATATCTGAACTGTTCTTGCACCCTCCTCCACTCACCGACCCACTGACCAGCCCTCATGAACAACAGGGCACACAGAGGCCTTCACCCACCAGTGGATTGACAAAGGGCTGTAAACAATCATTACTCCATGTGCTGCATTGGAGGAGTCGAGTACACCGCGTGCACTTGGTAAGGCATCACTCAGCCTCGAGGCCAATAACGGGGAAATTTACAAGATACCTTCACAAAAATCTCTCCCTAGGCACCGTAATTCTGAAGCGTGCGTCGATAACGTCTCATTGGATCGACTCCAGTTACGAGGCGCCAACTGTTACATCGATTGTGATGTGGGTGTACATATCAATTTGGCACTAGTTACCAGCAATCCAATTATTTATCAAAGCATGAATAAAGACCTTCCGCCACCTTAGGAGTGTACAGTTTCCACCAAAGGCTCAGGTATTAATTTTAGCCCTTGCATGGATATTTGCTTTACAATACAATTAAAATGTATACAACATCGAAATGCAACTTCATCTTAATGCATTGTACAAAGCAGTGGCAAGTGTATTATACTGAAAGAGGGGGCATATATTTTCAAAAATTAAAGACTATAAACCCGCACCCCTTTGGACATGACCATCCCATCCATACATTCCTCCCAGCCAGCAAAATGTATTTCAAATACCGAATTTAGTAATTGCTGGCAGAAAATTAAACACTGCATTGACGTTCACGTATGTATAAACGTACAAGGTCGGTCATAATCCCCGTGTAAAGGGACCCTGTGGCAGGATCATTACCGCAGGGCAGGCTCCATGCAAGCAACATCAAGAGCTCGCCTAGACGCTCCGGGTGGCGCAGGCGGCTCCACCAGCCCAGCACCGGTGAACTCCGGCTGTCAGCAGATTTCCCACCTGCGACACAAGCAGCACAAGCAGTGTCGGTCTCGCAAACACAGGGCAGCGCCTCTGATACACAACTGCCACTCACACTACTCGGTGTTGCCAATGGGAACCGATTTCAAGCTGTGGATCAAGACGTATAACAATTCACAATAACCGCTACACTATCGCTCCCCACAATGCTGATTTCACAACCTTGACCAGTCAGAAAATCAGTTGCAAAAAAACATTGAACAATGCCCAGCGAACCTTCATGATGAGGACCAACAGGGATGGTTACTTACGATCTCCGGCACTGTCGCTCTGAGCATTCTTCTGCGTGTGCGCCCTCCGGGAGATGACATAGCCCACAACTATGCAGACAAACAAGGAAGTCAACCAATCAGGAGTTTGCCTCTTTAGATTCCAAGTATTTCAATTAAAAAAGTATAAATCAAATGTAAAAAAAATAATTCAATGCACAGTTAAGTATATAAAAAAGAATATCTGAAGCCTATTTTTACACTTCATTTCTAAAAGATATATTTATCTGAAGAAAATAAGAAAACAATAAATTTAAAAAGGTGCTCTTTTGGTTCAATCATAACATTTAAGCACATGGTTACCACATGCCATATTTTACAAAGTAAGACTACATCAACGATAACCAATAACAGGTCTGTGAGCTTTCTACAATAACACAATCCCTGACAATACAACCTGAAGAGCATCGATTAGCACGGTTGGCTACGTACGGTGCGAAAGAAGTTCAACATATATACAGCATAGAGATGGGGGGTATTTCCTTCAGTAATTCTCCAATCTGTCCCCCTCCCCAAGAATGACTTAAATCTGCTGATGTCACAGTAGTCTATGCTGTGATTTTTGCTGAATGATGGACTACAGGGCAACCAGTTTCCCTGCGGTGTGTGGTGTGTGACACAACACACACATGTACCATACATAGCACGCACAATTGCACCGCACATGCGCATGTGCTGTGCGTGTTGTGTGCGGTACGTGTGCATGTTATGCGTGGTTCGCGTGTCTTGCATGGTACACGTGTGCGTGCTGCAAGTGGTACATGTGTGATACGTGTGCTTGTGTGGGACAGGATGGCAGCACGTACGGTACAGCAGGCAAATCGCTGCGGCCCAGTAGGCGGTGAGCTCCTGGTGGTGGTGTACCAGGTAGTAGGCCGGCAGGCTCGAAGCAAAAGGTATCCACGCCAGGTTGGTAAAGGCCAGCAGGAAGCCAAAGTGTTTGTGCGGGATGTCGCCCGTCGATAGACTGCGCTCCTGTTGCCGTCCGAACCGCATACACACAGCCAAACATGTGTCTTTGTAATCATCATGCCTCTAAGTTCCTTTCATTAGAAGACGTATTGATATTACAATTTTATGACGGATAAACAAGCACGCTTTGTCATTGTCACATAATAAAAAACAGAATTGGCCATGCAACGGAATCAGGATGCTTTTGAAATAGTCTACAAGGCTCAGTGAATTACAATACTTTTCAGAAGACGAGCCTAATATAATCCTATGGGAAGCTGAACATAGAAGGTATATATCTGAGGAAAAATGATCATCTTTGGCAAGCTGCCTAAAAGCCGGACTTGGACTCTGTAAGGGGTGTGAAAACTTTCTGGCCTGCAACGTGGATGTGACAGGCCCGAAGGTCGGTGAATGCTCGGCAAACAACTGGGTGGGCGGCTCACTGCAAACATGCTAGCAATAACTATTCCCAAGTGTGATGTCACGCTCGCTCACGCGACGCTTAAGAATGTGACGTTACTCGCTCACGTGACATCGTGTCACTAGATTTCCACGTGGCACTCTTGGCCCGTAGGGCGCTAGAGATTCTCAATGTGGCCTGCGCTGAAAAAAGGCATAGCAACAGCTCCAGCAGGCGAGAAGGTTTTCGTTCATGGGCCTCAGCAGAAATTGGTTATCATTTGCGGTAGCATAACTTTAGTTGTACCTATGTATTTATAGGACTAGAATGAATTATTTGATAACTGAATGATTTCAAGTGGATATCATAACATTATTTTATTGTTGACCACATTAAGAAATTAGAACTGGTATATGTATGCCACCTCAGGTTTTACCAACAAATGAAATACCTGGTCTGGCCTCATGAACCATTGCAGTGGAGGAGGTTAAATTAATGAGTCCAACTTTTTTGGCTCACCTCGTTCCACAACACGTCAGCCACATAGATGAACTGTAAGGCAACGTAGAGAAGTAGGGCAGGCGAGAACGCCTCATTCTTCTGGAGGTCTTGAAGAACCATGACCAGGCTGATGATGGCCTGTAATCCACAAGCATGCAGTCAGAAAAAACCTTTACATGGCCTCTTAACAGAAAAACTCCCCTGTGCACTGGCATCTTCACATGAAACTTCCAGCATGCAGTTTTAACCGAATGAAAAATCCCATCCCAGAAATATCCTACAAAGTAGAAAGTGTTAGAGACTTACTTACCCAGCCAATAAATCCAGGCCGCAATTCAAAGAAACTCTTGAGATCCATGTTTCCAATCCGGGGATTCAGCTCGCGTCCAAAGAAGAAGTCGTAAAAGATGTTTCCTGATAAAGTGGACGTTTATGAAGTGCTTCATCATCACCATTACATGGCACCTCTTAAACAAAATATCACTACAGATGAGTTCCATATTTTTGACTGTGGTGAGAAGTCGAGGAAAAATAAAAGTGGCCAAAAGCTGAATGAGCTCTAACTGAAATATTTTGTGTGACTTATCACAAATAAATCGTGTCTATGAGTAACATAAAAAAACAGGATTTAATGCAGCAGGATTGCCCGGGTGCAGAAAGACAGTTTGCATGAATTTTGTGTACAACAGCCAGGCGCTTTGTTTCAGGCACGTTAGCCACTCTTGTTGCCGCTCTATCATTAAAACAGTGTGCATGGGTTTCACTTGATGTCTTGGTTGGGTGTGTGCTAACACCAGCTTCAGCGGGTGCTCACCGGGGCGTCTGGTAGTGGCGACAGCAATGTGCGAGGCACAACGTGCGCGCACGAACAGGTACGCGGAGAGCAGGTAGGCAAGCAGCACAGCCGACACGGCCAGCTGCAGGAACTTGTCGTGAACAAAGGCAACGTAGGCCTCCTTGTACTTGGCGAGGCTGAATGCTGCGATGCTCAACACCAGGGCGTGGATCCCTGTGGTGGAAGCAATGCTCAAGTGAGACATTAATATGCAGGCCAGCAGCTTCATATTTATTTCATTTTAAATGTGCAATTGGCATCATGTCATAAGACAAAGTATCCATTGGGAACTCTAAGCAAAGCAATGCGACCTTTCCCATTGAGAATAGCCGACAGAAGCGGATATTGCAAAGCTGTCTCAGAGATCCTTTCAAGTGAACTGCCAGAGAAAGTAAAGTTCGATTGCAACGAATATTTAGAATCTCAGAGCTGGAAGTCCAGTTAATAAAACCATAAACTCATCAACTCACGATTGAGAACCCAGTTTAATTTCAGGTAACTTCCTGGATTCCAATCTAAGATCTCAGGGGTACCAGCTCAGCTCTCTGACCTCTGAATCTCCACAGTAGCTTAAACTTATTATGGGCAGGCAGAGCCATGGCCCAAGCACGTGTTCAGGTGATTTAAGTTACTTAATAAATTACATAATTTATTCAACATACATTTACTTTATTTTGTCCATGTTTAAAAAATTATTTTTCTGATTAAAAAATATACCACTCATCACTGGACTAGACTATCATGAATGCCAACTGAAATAACCAATCAACTGTGAAATTCCCTTCGGAGTGGCAATATAAATTAATTTACAAAGTGTTCAACTTTAACATGCCATTCCCAAAAACATTGTGACAACACAAGCTTGCCGCCTATTGATCTGCATCCCACAAGAAGGTTCTCGGCCGTTCTGAAGTAATTTGCGGGAAATATATTTTCATGAAAATTTGGCCAGAGCATCGGCTTACTCATGCGAAGACCAAACATCACGGGGTCTCCCGTGGAGCTGCCAAGCAGCACCACCAGCTGCTAACCTACCCCCCCCCCCCCCACTTGAGACATTCCTCACTTTACAGTAAACGTCTGCATAAGCAGCACAGAAAAAAACCGACACTGACGCACAAAACTCACCATTCAGCCTGTACTTCAACCGCTGCTCCGTGTTTGGTGGCACCCTCTCCGTGACCTGAAAATTCAAAAGCAATAAAGCCATCTGTTACAAACACAATAAGAGAACCCTGTCGCTATTAATGTGAGAAGTGGGACGCACGGAAAAATTGAACAGCCTTGCCATGTGCCCAATTATGCACGTAAAAATATCCAGAGACTCCATAAAAGTGACAAATGTGAGAAGCCACACACGTGCTTAATCTCAACTGCATTAATTCAAAACAATGTCTCACTACTGGCAGTTAATGCAATGCATCCAGTAAACATATCGTCAAATGTGGCTATGTCACAGTTAATGTGGTTATGTTTCAAGCTCAGAAGTGGTCATCCACCTCAGGCTCAATTCAACCTGTCTTTAGCATTTGTTTCCATCAGTGGGGATCCTCTTGTAGTGTCAAGACACATATTCCACAAGGTTTAGTTTGTGTACAGTTGGCCAAAGTGATGACAAAAACATAAACACCCCTGCAGCATACACACTCAACTCAAACACCCAGGGTAACATGCATAAAATGTAAATTTTACATGCAGCTAAATTAAATGCTTAAACTTCATACACATATAGAGACATCTATGTGGCTGTGTTGTTGTCGTATATGTATTTGAGAAAGTTATTTATTGACAATCATGCTGCCGAGGGACTGCACATGTTCAGGTGACAAATAAGGCCCTTGGGACACTGGCTTCTTCAGCCTCACATTGACAGATTCCAAATTTACGACACATTCACCCTTACAAACAGTCACATTGGAGAGTCTTGGCTGTGTGCTGCGTACATTAACCATGTACAGCTGAGCTCAACTTGCAAATATTTTCGCTAGTTGGCAGCTTTATTGCAACTGTAGGTGAACGTGCATTTACTCATCACACCAAGTACAACCGTTACACTGCAACTCTAAATCCAAAACCGCTTTGTGCAAAGCGCCTGAATAGGTAAAGGTGAGACACATGCACCCCCATTATCCATGACCCCCCACCCCTCAGCTCCCTGAGCACCAAACAGTGCTCGCGAGCACATACATTTCCAAGGGGCAGGCGGCAGAGCAGGGCCTGGAAGAGACACCAGCCAAGGCAGAGAACCAACGTGCACATGTCCCACAGCGAGGCCAGGCCCGGGGGCGGGGCGGGGGGGGACAGCAGGCTGCAGCCGTCCGAGCAGCACACATGCAGGACGTAGAGCAGCACCAGCGGCAGAGCCAGCGGCAGCAGCGCCGTGCCTGCCGAGCCACACACAGCCGCCGGGTGTCACCGGGGGAGAGAGCCCGAGCAAGGCTCGCGAGTGAAACCCCTGCCAGATTCAACATTTAGAAGGGGAACAAAGCCACTCAACGGATTCAAGTGAATCGCGATTGGTGCAAGCAGCAGCCACGCATTTTACATTATTTATTATCATTGTTGTTAGATGTTATGTAACATTAGCATAGAAATCTGATATATTATTTCACCCTGGATGCATTGCCATCGGCCAAGAGAGGCCTCACGGAAGAAGTGACCACAGTGGAGGACTAAATGACAATTTTTTTTTTTAATAAATTGCAATAACTTAAATATATTGCCCTCGGTAATCTACAGGTTTCAAATATCACTAATTTGGTATAATAACCATAATGTATTGATTCATAATCCCTATGCAACATGACCGAATGTCAAAAAAATATTTTTTAAGGCCCACCTCTACTTTTTTTTGCAGTCAGGAACCAAATCCGAAGGCAAATATCCGTTGTTGGTCGATGTCATTTAGCCATTTAGTAGATAAGGAAAGATGCAACAATCAATACATTAAAATCAATTATTACTCAATACATACATCAAATAGTGCAAGTAAGAAGCAGTAAGTGATTTATAAGCAAATGACATGCATGCACAAAACAGCCAAACAAATTCAGAAAAAAAAGACAGATGGGAAAAATGAGACGAGAGATAATCGCTTAATCGAATCAGTGGGGGGGGGGGGTACATCGTTCCATGCCTACCAAATTAGGCATGTGTACATCCAACTAGCGGTGACCAGTGAGGGACTTGAACCCAGTTACACAGGTGCAGTCACCGCCTTAGGCACCAGACCGACAGTGGTTCAGCACAGCTGCTCTCGGCAGCGCTGCCAGCAACACCCCGCAGGCGACACCGACCTACCGAACGTCACCCCGAGCCCCGGCTCAGGGCAGATCTCTTCCGGTTTTGAGGACAACTTGGGAAGTTCCACGGGGGGCGTCTCCTTGGGCTGATTGATGCCCTGCCGACTCCTGAGGCGGTAAATGACTAACGGGCTGCTCTCGCTCGCCACGGCACCCATCTTCTTCTTCTCCTTCATCGCCTTTTCCTCATTCATCACCTTTTCCTGAGTAGGAGACCAAAGGCAGGAGGGGCACACGCACGGGGATCGTGATGCTCCAATGCCGGCGAGGCGCTTGCACGTTTCTACCCTGCGGGTTCCAAAGCGATGACCTCGTCACCATGTCATGCGCAGATATCCCAGTATCTGTGCATGCATGTGTATAGGTGTGAAGCACCAACCTTTAGTTGTGTGAAGCATCTTGATGTACATTGTTTATAAATTGTGCGAGACAAATGAGCAATGTTATTCTAATTTTTTTTATTAATTCCAAAATGAAACCACCAAAATATAGCCATTTGAGACATGTTTTTTTAACAATTAACTGAGCAATACAAGGAAGACAGAGGATGTACAAATGGAATCACTAACGAAGACCAAGGCATTTTGACGAGACAAAACCACACTGCAGAGGCAAACCACGCACCTTCACGATGACGGCCGCTTGCTTCCCAGTTTCCGCACCATTGTTTTCTTTGCTGATTTCCTTCACTTTTGTGATAGCCTAGGAACACAAGAAAATCACTTTCCAAGTATCACACTTTGCTAACATTCTGTCCACCTTCACAATTTATGCACCGTATTGGAGGGATTACTTTACTGTTGCAATATATTTGAAATGTTGTATATTGTCATTATTTCGGCTTAGTGATCATCTTTCACTTTCATATCGATCTATTATAAGAACGCTCTTTGTTTACCTAGGTAATCCTGAACATTTGGCATGCTGGAGGAGACCAGAATAGCCGAGAAAAACCCATGTGTTACAAGGGCGTAACACATAAAGCTCCATACACACAGGTTCACGATTACATTTGCTTTACTGCCATCTCCTGGCCACCTCGCAGCCTCATTTTTATTAATGCATCTTCCACACAATTTAATGTATCTTAATTGTGTTACGTTTAATAACCGTGATGAGTATCATTGGAACATTCAATATCACAAATTACATTCTTGCTTTTAGAAAAAAGAGAATGTCTGTTAAAATACAAGTAAAGTATTTGCAGCCTGTGATTTTAAAGTACTTCCAACGCAGTGGTTAACAGAGCAATGACCTATTAATTAAAATCGATTCTTACACTTATGATAAGAGTAAATGGTGTGCGCGAGACTTGATTACTTTGGATTTTTTTTTATATGTTGCAAGTTATCGGTTCACACAACCCCCTTTGTAGTTCACCACAACGTTAAAATATTCGTGAATCAAATCACCACAGAGGCGACTCGTGACATGCCTACAGGCTAAATAACCGGTGTTCTATTATAAAACCAATTTCGACTCTTTTACAGAGTTTCGCCTTGTTGCAGTGCCAAAACCCTGCCTGCGTTACCTGCTTGACGGCCGTGTGGTTGGTGGTAGTCTGGATGGGCTCCTCTTCTCGCTTGGTGGCCCTGCTGCTCTTGGCTTCCTCATCGTTCTCTTTGGGGGAACGGATTGGGGAGCGAGCGCGGGGGCGCCTCCCGGGCGAATTGGATCGCCTCCCGGGCGAATTGGATCGCCGACCCGGGGACTTGGAGCGCGAGCGAGAGCGAGACTTCCGGGGTGTACGGAACGACCCGATCTTCTGCTCAACAGGCACGCACATTCGCAAAAGAAATCTAATCACTTGCTCGCTTGCTGGTTTTAAACCGAAACATGTACACCCGTTTTGACAATGCACTATTGAATGAGGGCCTCCGAACAACATGTGGGTCTTGGGGATTATTTGTGCAGATTGAAGGTGGAAAGTACATTACAACAATGTATATTGTTATAGCTCCACAGCCGACAACCTGGTGTGAAAAGTGAATAGCCAACCAAGCACGATCTAGACTAGACCCTGCTTCAATTAAGATATTTGACGAGCTCAGCTGCATTCCAGGTGATTTGATCACACAGGTTCCTATTTTGAAAATGTTATTTTACGAAATTCGAGATTATATGTATTTTTGTGATTTTTAAATATGCTGCACCACATTCATGCATATTATTCTCTTTGAGTATAAACTTGCCCCCACTAAAGAGGGCATAGAAATCATTTACAGTATGACTATAATGACAATTGAAGCCCTACTAATAGAACCATCCAACACATATATCAGGGAATAAGATGCTACAAGTGCCCCAAATGCAGACTTGAGTACATTCTCAGCTGTGGTAATGGTAAACGGCTTCATGCCAGTGTTCAGAATGGAAATTTAATCGTCTCATGATAATTAAAAAAAATGTAATCTCTTAAAAGTGATGGCCTAGAAATAAAGCCTTGATGGGGATCAAGACTCTTTCTTGAGGATCCCACATTGGGATGTTTGGCCAATTCTTATTCACAAGCATTGCCTTCCTGTAAAAAAATGTAAGCACCCAAGAAAACACGCATACTGGTAGGTAATACTCAATGCTTCACACATGCAGATTCAGTGCAAGACAGTTCGGATTCAGAGTACTGTACATTGCGTCTAAATGTGACCCCATCTCAAGAATCCATCGCTAAACCCGATTTCCGAGTGAAGTGCACTTGATATCTGGGTTCATTACCTGATGACAAAAAATGTGTTTGAGTGAAACGTCATATTTTGATGTTAAATTCAGTCATTCAAAGACTTAAGACACCAGTGAGCTTTCTTGGTCAGAATTTAATCAATACTTTGGCACGTATAGATGATGTATTTGTAAACGTGACCAATTGCCACGTGGCTTACCCCACTATCGACTCTGTATTTGAGATCTGATGAAATTGTGTACACTCAGGGTGATTTGCTCATGAGATAGAGTCACTGGAAGAAACACCAACTTGTCATACTAAAATTGGAGGGCTGCTGTGAAGCACAGGTACCTTGATGGAGCTCGGCTCCAGCTCCAGCTCGGTTCCGTCCTCATACTTGACGTTATAGATGCTACTTCCTTCGCTGTAGGACAGCACCTGCACCTTATACCACATGCAGCTGCCGGGCCAGCGCGCCATCACCTCCTCGCCTATCGTGAACTTGCTGTGCACCATTTTCCTGCGCGCTAACAAAAAGCAAATGACAGTAATGAATCCGTGTTGTCCACAAGTTTTACGTGCAAATATTAAGTTAGGTAAAACTTACTGAAGATAGTTTATTACTCAACCATAAACCAGAAGCTTCGACAATATTGTTTAGGTCGGCCAGCATCAATCCAAACGCTGTTTTTAGCGTTGAGCAACTAAGCGAACCAATTTCTTAACAACGATCGATTAAATAATACGGTATGTATATACAGTATATGCATACCGATATGTTTAACATCGCGCTCTTTATTCATTCCCGCACAAGCCCTCCACATGAGGGCACATATCCAACGATTTTCCTCATTTGGGAAGCGCATATTACATGGCACACCAGATGGTTCGTGCACGGCTCTGCAGCGCTGCGCACACATTTATTTCAGTGATGCTTTTATTGCCAATACACTATCATGCAACGGGTGTAATCGTTTAGGCCGAATTGAGAGAAAGTCCAGACCAAGTATACCACTTAATATGCGTACTGTTAATTTACAAGGACACTGCTTCCAAATCGAAGATGCCCTGTCACGCATTCTATACCACACACACGGGGAACACTTGTAACCACCATCAAGAGCAGTAGCTGTCACGCACGTGGGTGGGTGTGTCCGTGTGTGTTTAAATTAAGGCTGTCATGCCTACCTACGACCCATCCTGGGTTTTACCAGACTGGATTGTGAGCTTACAGATCCTTGAAAGATCTTAGATTTTTATCGGTGATCTCATCCAACAAGGATCGCATGACAAAGCAGCTTGTTTAGCCGGATAGAGAGGTGCTAAACGGACGCGGCACGGGCTGGAGAAGAGACGTGACTAATGTGGTTTATTCGCCCTACAACAAAAACAAAGGAGCGATGCTCACAACTACGAACGTAAATTAGCATAGCCGGGAACACAGGAGAGTACATACGCCAGTCATCTCAGTCGACCGATAACGCCTGGCTCTGTCCCATGACCTGCCAGCCGAGCTCTCAACCCTTAAGGGAGGCGCTGGGCGTGCACCTAGCCTGGCACAAGAGCTGCGGTGACGTCGCCGCCAGTTAAGACGAGCGTGGCGGCGGCTGTTGCCGTGCGTTTAGACGCCGCGCAAGTAACGGCCCCGTACGGCCCCCCAGTTGAACCCCGCAGGGCCCCCCACGGGCCCGCAGTTGAACCCCGCAGGGCCCCCCACGGCCCCCCAGTTGAACCCCGCGGGGCTCCAGGCAAACTCCGCGCGCCTCGGCATCGACAATCGCTCCGAGTTGACTCTCGACAACAGTAACGCTCTGCGTGCACACCGGCTTCAGACAGCCACCCACCGACGGTCATATTTAAACAAGGCTGTGGAATTGCACGTGGTAAGAAGTTACGATCTTAAACGCGTTTGTTTACGAACCGCCTCGGGTCTCTCTCGTTTTGAATCTTTACGGGCCGCGCTCGACTAGCCTAGGCCTCGCGAGGGCGGGAATCGCGGCTCTCGTACCCAACCGCTGTTGTTGTTGTGGTGGGGTGGGTTTAACGTTTAAATGATTTACTTATTTTACGTCAACGTTCGCCCGCACCTTTGGCTTCGGCTTGAGACGGAAAAAAAACTGAAGCGAAATAAAACAAAAAATAAAAACAGAAATCCCGCGAAATTTACGCCTCCACCAACCGACTTCCTTCTCGCGAAGTTGGGCGCGAAACTCGCCGATTGGCCCCGCGCACACCACGTGGGGCACTAACCACGCCCCCAACTTCCGCCAACTCCTCCGGCCAATCGGAAGGCCGCTTGCCATTGCGTCACCCGCTAACCCCCCCCCCCCGCTGGACGTTACGAAATGACAGCGTCACCACAGGAGGGCTGCGCGGTGACGTCAGCGTTGCGCGATGACGTCGACGTTGCGCGATGACGTCGCCCCGAGAACCGAACGCGCCGCGACGTCATCGCTCAGCAGCTTTTGCGTGCCGTCACGCCTCTGACGTCATGGCACGTGGAGCGCGGTGCGTCGTGACGTCAAACGCGCGATCATCCGTTTTTTTGTAGAGGGATGACGTCGCAGGGGGGGAGGGAGGTCACAGTTTGCGATGACGTCACTAAATACAAGCGGTCGTCTGCTGCGGGGGCAATGGAATCAGCACAAAGCGTCAGAGTCCACGTGTCGCTTTATCTGACGATCTTGATTTAAAGCTTTCGTGACTGCAGGAATCCACACTTTTTGGTTCTTTGGGTAAAGTCACGTAGGGTATAAAACACCTGATGACGGACCCTTGTGTTGCGCCCGAAACGTCGTCACTTATTTTATACCGACCGAAATAACCAAAGAGTATTCATCTCACCAGCTTAATCGAAAGACAAATTTCACTATGATCACCGTTTCATTGCTTTCATGGCTTTATTTTGGTGAATTAGAAAAGTTTTTGGTCTGGCCATGTTTGTTTGTTGTAGTACGGAGTTAGACTGATGACCTTAATCTAAGTTATCTTGTGGTTGTTGTTTGACTTGCATCCCACTGGGATTTGCGCACACATTGTGGGTGTACGGTGCTTTTCTGCAATATTTTGCTGTCTTCTCTTGGATTTTCGGTTTGCACTTAGTCTGCACATAGTCACTTTTAGATGTTTTCTTGTTCATGTTTTTTGTTTGTTGCGGTTGCACCCGATTCAAGAGCCGAATGGCTCACAGGGCTATACCTAATCAATGAACTTTAAATGAACTGGGCTGCGCTCCTGACTGTTCTCGCACGTCTAGTGGTGGCATTTCCACGTTTACGTGGCAGGGTCCAGGACATCCAACCCACGGGATGAACCACCAATCGCCGACTCTTTCCGACATCGTTCTCGTTTGGGGCAAATGTGCGCAGGCCTTTGTAAATCCACTGCTGGATGAGAGTTTCACCCCCCCCCCCCGAAGCAGTGAAGGTTATTCGACCATACTTCACCACTTGGTGCAGGTTGACTTCCGGGAGCCGTAGCCATTGCCCACCGTCAGACCCTCAAGCCCGATGACCACCTGTCTGTGCACCCATTCACTTGGTTCAATGTGTACACATCAGGAGGACTGGGGAGACAAAGGCGGCCGCGCGGGGTTGCTGGTCATACCCAGTCTCTCGTGCTGGACCTGAAGAGGCGCTCGCTAAAAGCACTTAACCCCTACCACCTACAAACACACCAAGTCTACACAGATACCCACCCCGCCGTATGTCCTCCGCATACTTTGGGGCAAGTGCCCTTAGCGAGCGCCTATACGGGGCACGAGGGGGTGTTGGTGGCCAGCACCACGCCCGGCCGCCTTTGTCTCCCTAGTGGCGATGTTTAAACATCGAACCATTTGAGGCCGAGTCGACCTAGGGGAGACGCAGGACCTGGCGTTGGCCGTGAGCGGGAATCGAACTCCTGTTTGAAGGGCAGTACGCTAACCTGCTACAACACCGCTCTCTTACATAGATCGATTCAGACCGTATTGGTCACCCCGTGCCCTTACAAATCTCAACGTTCATCCTACAAAGTCCCATCACAGGGGAGAACAAGTATAACCCGTAAAAACAAAGTTTTTCACTATAAATCCTTTATATGCGTGGCGGCTAGAGTCCTCTCGTCCTCTGGCTTGAGATGGCTGCCACCTATGGGTCAGATAATTGCATGGCACCATTAAGCAATTGGTAATTAAATATAATAATTTTGTCCTAAAAAGTGTAAAATTTTGGAAAATAATTTTCCACGAACATTGTCACGCACGACGAGTCTGTGTGGAAAATGTCAGCTCGATTGGATCACGGGAAGTGGGTTAAAAAACGACCGAAAGATTTGCACGGTCGTAAGCAAGCAAGCGCGCAAGTGAACTTAATATAAAGGATTTAAAAAAATACTTTTGTTGCCCGTATTGTAATGGCGGTACGCCGTATGGACCTGAAAACTCAATTTCCCTGTTAAAGAATACAGGCAAACCGTGTGGGTTGACAGGTTTGCATTATTATAATATACTAATTAATTGAAAAATACTTTGTTCATTCTTTTAAATGAGGGATCAAACTAATTTGAAGAATTTGACCCACTAGCCTCCCGTCATATCTAACCAATTATTCACGAATATCATCACACAGGGGACAAAATAATGGACAATTTAGAGGTCACCAAACAAACACGAGGAAGCTTGATTTATACAAAGCTGGTCTAACAGCAAACACGTCATTATAGAAAAGACAAATGAATACCATAATGCCCGACTTTTCAGGCTACAAAAACGAATTTAATTCAGTGGATAATGATGCAGTCAACTAAATCTCCCACAAACCAAGGCCTTAAAAAATATAAATTATAAAACCATAGGTCACTGCACTGACTACATGAAGTAACGAATACAAACCAATCGGACAAGTAGATGCTTTTTGCCAAAACTATTCACAGCATTGAAAGATATTAAATTAATGGTAAAAACAAATGCATTTATTGTTACTCCAGTATCTGTTGCAACCACCCATCTTAAATCCCATCATATCCCAACCACTCGCCTGAGAATCAGCCAACAAAGTGGATCGAGATCCACGGGTGGATTGCAACAGAGGTCTTGTGGATCTCAGGGCAAATAAGAACACTAAAATAAGTATACAATGCACACACATTTCAGTTTTGGAAGATGGAAAATACAAATCTCCGACTAAGAATTCATACCTTAAATAACTAATTTCTACCAATAGATGGTGCTAGTACTTTGTCAGTAGTCTAGTGGTATTTGTAGGTCACAGCATTCTGGTGGAGCTCGGGGCCTGCTGAGATCCACCAAAATGAATCGGTGCTTGGTGTATTGGCCACCGTTGCCTTGGATGCTCCAGAATATGTAAAACTGCTAATGAAAGCTGAAGGCTCAAAATGGTAATGAATTGTTTTTTTATTTATAATACATTTTACCCAGGAAGCAACTCCATGCCAACAACACCAGGGCAAGGCCTGCTGGTGGTCACTTGTTTAAATGCTGTATTAATCAGGCTCATCATTGCTTACTTTTTGAGAGCCAATGATATTTGGTTGTCTCAGAGTAACTTGGTCAAAGGTGTGCACAAAATATTCCTCCACTTGTTAATTCCTCGCAACATAAAGGTTAAGGGGTGAAGATTGGTACAGAGGTCACGCAAAGCCCCTCCACCACGACCAACATGCAAAAGTAACCTCTCAGACAACATCTTTATTAAGTTACTTTAATAAGGTAGCATGCAACTGATAACGCCACACGGTTCACTAAAAGCATGAAAGGACAGTCAGTAGAGTGAAAATTAAAAATCTGTTACCTACGTACAATACACCAAAAAAAAAACTTTATTTGCACGCAAGTTTAACTGCCAGAAACACGTGCACGAGCCTCATGTCGGCAAACTAAAAAAATAGAAACTAAACATTTCATTTGACAAATTTCCAATACCTCTGCGTGAAATTGTATTTTCCGTAAACACCTGCGGCTGCTTAAACTGCAAAAACGTCTAATTGTTATTTTTAAAAATAAAATAGTACTAACGCAATATTTTAACAAAAGCCTGCTTGTGACGGGAGTACTTTGAGTGAAGATACTCAGCTCAGAGCCCCTCATGACACACGACTCGCGCTGCCCGACAGCTGTTTTTTCTTGTAAGAAGAAACGAGTTTTGTTTCTGGTCCACACACAAAAAACAAGCGTTTAGTGGCTTCAACAACGCAAAATGTAAACATCAGTTAGAGCAGTACGTGACTTGTCTATCGTTATTAATAGTTATCTTCCTTCACAGAAACACACATGAAGCGGTGAGCTACAGCAATATTAAAGTGTTTTGGCATGTAACAAAAATTTTTTTTTTTGTTCTTTATGTTTTTTTTCCTCTCTCCATAATTTCTAACTAAAGCATGGGTTTTAGAACTTGAAGTGGTGGTTGTGATTTGTTATTGTCACGTGATTAATTTAAAAACTTATAGCGATAAAGTGTGAGTGATTTTTTTATTTACTTTTCTAGTATTAGTGAAATTTGGATCCCGTACATTTCATCAGTGGCATTGCAGCTGAGATTAACGCGCCTGCGCGGAACGTGCCATGCCTGGGCAGTGGCAGTACCCTCGTGTAAGCAGAGAGTGATGAATCGCACCGCCTGACCAGCGCTTTTGCCATCACAGGCCCTCATACCGGCACTTTAAAATCGCTCTCAACTGAATTAAAAACGACTCCGAGTGTACTTATTCAATTACTGTCCCCCCATGGAGTTTGTGATTCTTACGACAATTTAACACGCACAAGCCTACCCCAGCCCTCCCACATTGGACGAGTGACCACCAGGGTACATCTATATTATTATAACGGTATTTATTATTTCCCCAGTCAGGATCAAGGACGTTAGAGGCAGCAGCCTCATTGCAATGCCTTGTGGACCAGGCAAGGCAGGCTTGTTGAACCTGACAGACCTCATGCTTGGGCTCCGCTGCTGCGAGTTGTCCCTGGAACGCTACGGTGGAGGCGACTTTAAATCCGGCTATGCGAAGGGAGGTCAAACTAAGATATAGTCTCCTCCCGCCATGTTGTGAGCTAGCTGGCGCCACTTGCGCAGGGGACAGGCGCACGTCCCTGAAACTCCTAAAACCTTCATCTACCCAATCGTGACCTGATCACACCCAGTGGCTGCCAGCGCAACCAAAATTAACCGCCGTCACAATTTGGCACTTTTTGCTCGAATATTCGAGACTCCGCTGCCCTC